TCGTGAAGCACGTGAAGCACCTTTATTTTTAAGAGTGTATCACAGTTTTTATTTTCTGAAACATAAAATTTGTTCAGCTATTTCAGCTATCGGAGCTATTTGTTACAAATAATATATTCTATTAAAACAATACTAAGAAAGTGATATAATTAAAAAAGAGAGAGAGAAATTCCTAATAAATATGCTGTTTTCTTCCCTCAGTATCTGTATTAATTCAACAGAAATCATTTATTATAATTTTAAAGCAGGTATCTATGAATTAATGTGGCATGATCTCATGTGTGTTTGGAGCATCTCTTGACTGCTGGGATTTATTTATTTATTTATTTATTTATTTTTTGCATGTGTGTATCAGTTCTGAAGAGCGGGATTGAAACCTCTCCTCTGTCTGATTTGTGACTTTGTAAGTAAAGAGGATATTTTAAACTAACATGTAGCTAATGCTGTGCATGATGAACGTCCTCTCCAGCACACACAAGAACACTGATACATTTCTGCATTCCTATTTTTTGACACAGCCTGTACTTTCATATGATGAAGTGTGTCACATTTAATTTATCATGAGGCATGTCTAAGATTGTTTATATGTAAAAATAGGTCTTTGCAGTATTTTGCAATTTCTTTTTTTTTTGTATGGCATGTGTAATCCAATTTGTCTCACATGGTGAGGGGATATGATGTTTTGTATTGATTTGCACCGGCTCAGAGGATGACAGCAGGCCTGGGTTCAGTTTAAATTCTGAAAACTAGATAGAAAAAGTGTGTGTGATATGTGTGTGTGTGTGTGTGTGTGTGTGTGTGTGTGTGTGGATTCCTACATGTGTGTGTTTTATTTGATTTGATTTATTTTATGTTAATCTTTGTGCACAATTATCTATATATTTGGGTTTTGTTGGAAGTGACTCTAAGCATAACCATAGAGAGAGATAGAGAGACTCTAAGAGCAGGAGCAGCAGGCTTATGTTTCTGCTGATAAGGAAGACAGAAGTGAATCCATCCCAGTCCTTACCCTGCACAAGACAATAAAACAAACAAACAAACAAAAACATGGTCACCCACCTCATTTCTCATTTTTCTAAATCTCTCTTTAAAAAAAAAACTAATTTCTCTCTCTTTTGTTTAACACCTAAACTCACTCTCTGAGCATATAGCCTACACCTCATGTTCCATTCTGAGAAGTGTCTTGTGGAGAGTTCATACAGTATATAAGAGTATACACTCAGTCATAGAACTGACAAGTGTACACTTCCTCTAATGCCCTAATCCTTTAATCTAACTAGATAATCCTAAATGGGTATGGTGCTTTACAACATTTCCTCAAAAGTATCCATCCATCCATATATCTATAAATTAAGTGTCATCTCATTTACTGAAAAATATTCAGTTGAGTGACAAAACGCTTCTTCACATTTGATCACTTTCAAATGTGCGTCTGTGTTGACCTCTTGTGTCTGTATATTGCATATTTTATGTTTGTGCATGGTGAGGTTGTTATCTGACCCGGCAGAGAAAGCTTCAAATCAACAGAATTAAATATTCATTCACCTCAGGCCCCAGATCACATATCATTAACTTGACCCTGTACACTAGTTCACTCTGGAGTGCACAAGAAGGCAAAGAGAAAAAAAATACATATCTATGATAAGTGCAGTTTTTGGTGCATGCAGGCTTTGAGATAATGGTTTTGTAAACAGCGCCCCTAGTGTAACAGTTGTGCTGTGCCTCTCCCATGCCACCGACTGTTTCTACTGGTGAACTAGCGCATTAGCATATGTTTCAATATACATGAATCTTCTGAAAAGCAATATATTTATATTTTGGGTCCATTTGGTGCATAAAGAAAAGTTACATACTATATTTGTATTTTCCTTTAGATTGGCTGATCATGAAGAGGTTTATTTATTAGTATATTTAAATTAATATATAGATGAGAATGGCTATATGTATTTTAAAATCACATATAATATAGAAAAGATCCTATATTCTCAATGAACCTATATTTCTATTTTTGTTGATCATTTATGAAAAAGCATGTAACAGCTGGAGAATGTATGAAGTATATTAAAGGGGACATAACACAGTTTCTGCCAATCTCATGTTAATTTTGAGTATATACTGCATCCTTCATATCTCTTTAGAGTCTTTAGTTTTGATCAGATTTATAAAAGACAGATACAGCTTTACCATTCTCTCTGAAAACAGTCAAGCTCCTGGAGGCATGCCGTAGGCGGAGCTAAAGAGTCATGAGCATGTAAAGCTTTTGCGTTGAGATCGTCTGAAAGCTGTGACATTGACAAATAAAACAGGAACAAAAACTTAGTTTATTGACTTCAATTTTATTTAATTTGTTTATAAAACATTCGTCACCAAAATGCCGAGAACAAACAAACAAATTCGCACAACTCCTTGCTGCCCTGGAGAAACAAACTGGGTTCTTTGGGAAGCTGAACAAATTTATCTTTCACTCATAACCAAAAACACACTTCTTTAATGACACTGTTGATTTCATGGTCTAAAAACAAAATGACAAATCCTTCTCAAGCAAGTCCTGTGCAGCGCTGCCGACGACTTCAGTAACCCCAATTTCGCTCTGGTTGATGTGCGTGCTCTCACAGACTGTATAAAACAGCGCTTGTCCGGGAGAAGTGCCCATACAAGGAATTCCGCCCTTTATGATGTCATAGTCGAAAAAAACTTTCCGAAACTGAAGGAGTGTATTTGACACAGAAATACTCGTTATATGTCCAACTCGTTTTTTGAAACTTTGGCCATGTTTAGCCATGAGAATCCAACTCTTTAGCAGTGTAAACAGCCTAAGTCAGAATGCATGGATTAGCATTAGACACCCCCTTTAAAGGTACACTCCACTATTTTTGAAAATAGGCTCATTTTCCAACTCCCCTAGAGTTAAACTGTTGAGTTTTACCGTTTTCGAATCCATTCAGCCGATCTCCGGGTCTGGTGGTAGTTGCGATGAAAAGTTGCGATTTTCTAGGCCGATATGGCTAGGAACTATACTCTCATTCCGGCGTAATAATCAAGGAATTTTGCTGCCATACCATGGGTGCAGCAGGCACAATGATATTACGCAGCGCCTGAAAATAGTCCCCAGCTAGGTAACTTCCAATAAGCCCATTTTCTGTCGCTGCGTAATATCATTGCGCCTGCTGCTTGACCTGGAGATCGGCTGAATGGATTCGAAAACGGTAAAACTCAACTGTTTAACTCTAGGGGAGTTGGAAAATGAGCCTATTTTCAAAAATAGTGGAGTGTTCCTTTAAGCTCTGCAGTGCTTATTATAAAATACAAGGAGGTCACAATAATTCAGGCCAAGAATTTAATAAATCATTGTCACTTTTATAGTCTGGATCTCTTTGTAGCCTTTAAAATGCCAAAATGTATCATATGTTTCATAAAACTACAGATTTAACATTGACAATACATGGAAAGTTTTAAATAAGTCTCCTGTGAGCATATTAACCAACAGAACTCGACAGCTTTTGAAAACAAGCTGACAAGTCATTTCCCTAATGTATATAAAGTATATGAATAAGTATACACAGTAAATGCTGTGGTTTATATGTGCTTGAACAGAGTGGGTTGTGAGAACAAGCCCACACCTCAACAACATCACAGAACAAACTACAGTTCATTTGATATGGCTCAGTGCTTATATAGCACTGGACCTTGTGCAAACTGCTCAAATGTTTGATGAATAATGAGAGCCTGAAATTATATTGACTAGTTAAGTTTAATTATATAAACACCTTCATAATCTGATGTATTGAAATAACAAACTTAATAAAATTACCAAAAATACACTGTCTCCTCTTCATCAGCATAATCTGCATTATCATTTCCAGAATTCAGTTCTCAAGGTAAAAATGGTTAGGTTTCTCCAATTTCTCTAATGCTAAAGTGCCCTTTCAGGCACACGATTTCGACCGAGCACCTGATTTGAGAACCTTGCTTTATTTGCATTAGTTTTAGTTTCCTGGAATAATATGCGACATAATGTGACATAACAATAACCATTCTGATGTCCTATGCCATTTGAATTAATACAATACACCCACAAAAATTTGTCAGTGGGGTGGTACCCTAAGATACAAGATCTAAAAGCTATATCTTTGTATCTTACTTACCCCAATTGCGTATGTTTGTGTAGTTTTTGGTAGTAGCATTAAAAATAACTATTTTAAAATTATTATTATTATTAAGGTTTTAGACAATACATTTCAGTACATTTTCAAATTTACTGTTCAAAATTATTTCAAATTAGAATTTAGCCATACCCCTCTGTGCTCTTCATATAGAGCCACTTTTAGCCACCTTGAGTGGTTTCCGTAAAAGGAGTTCTGTAAACACATTGCTATCCAGTTTGTCACGCCAAAATGAATGTAGTTGTGCCTGTAAGAGAATATCCCCAGAACAATCAGGTATCAGTCACACCGTTATAAAACTGCTTTTGATAAGCATATGGATTGTAAAAAAGTTATTCTGTTGAACCAGGACTTCGGACTAGTCTGTCCCTTTTGCTGAGCCTGCATTGCTGCATCTTTCACAATCGACCAGTACTATTATGGTGCAAACCTACTGAAAACCATAAATATCTTCACAAGAATCAATGCATGGTTTTCTCCAATACCAGGAAAAGAGACGACAAGCACCAACAGTATACAGCATATTTAGTTGTTTTAACAACAAAACTGTTATCTTTGATAGTGAGATGTTTGCTTTGTTTTTAATTTTTTTTTTTTACTTGCCAACCTTTTTCACTAACAGTTGAACTCATGAAAGTGGTCACTAATTCTTTAAGAAAGTGTAACTTACTTTGAGTACATCAGTAAGAATGAATAAATAAGCCTTGTATTTATCCAGCAGTGTCTTCATTCTTTTCTCATAAGGGTTCAAAGCTCTAGTCTTATAATTTAGTGCCTTGTTCTTTAGGCTGGTCCCACTCATATTTCCTGTGATTTTTCCTCCCTCTTTCTACACTCAGGGTAGATCCAGCATGCCGTGCTCCTGTAGAGCGACTTCATTTCTCTCATACACTTCTTCTATTGCTCTCACTACCCTGTTCAGCACCACAGCAGCTTCTGACTGCGTTTCCACACACACCAACTGGTAGAAATAAGGTCGTTCAGGCATAGCAAGAAAGGCCAGTTCTGCTGCTTTCCTTACCCACCAGTTGTGATGGTGGGCCAGTATGCGCTGGTAAGTTTCTTTGCAGAGGTCAGAAGGGCTTCGTAGACGCTCTCCTTCACTTGCATCCTTCCCCAGTTCCTGCAGGAAGTTTTGCAGCCAGAGCAGAGCACGATGCAAGCGCAACAGAGTCCTGCAGCCTGAGTTTGTCTGCTTGTGGAAGTCCACCAAACCGTTCTCCAGCTCCCATGTAATCATAGACCGAATAGAAGTGTAACCAAATGAGAGTCTGTGATTAATTTCAGAGTAGTTCAAAGATCTGTTATGAGATATCATTAAGACTGGGTCGCTTTGCTGAGGCTTTCTTTTTCTGTCTTTCATTTTTTTCTCTGCCTCTTTCTCCGCTTTTTGGGCCAGGTCACGAATGATGGCGGTTTTTGATTCAATTTCTTGTGAAATTAAACCCACCATTGGCCCCAGGGCTTCCAAAAACCTTAAATGCACAGAAAAAGGAGATATAATGAATGTGTATGTTTCTACTCATATCTATCTATCTATTTACTGTATATAGTGAGAGAGAGAGAGTGAGAGAGAGAGAGAGAGAGAGAGTGAGACTTGAACTTTTCACTGTCTTTTCAGTCTGCTTGTCTGTGTTTGCATGTTCAAAACAAACATTCAGTCTCTGCATTATTGGTGAGGATTTTACAGCCCCTGCATCCGAATATGCCTATTTCCCTACTATATAATAGGCGAAATAGGCTGAATAGAGTGTCCGAATTCACAGTATTCATAAAACTGTATGCGAAAAGTAGACCTACGTAGCTAGTAACTCTTTCTGCAAGTTACACGATATGCCAGTAGGTCGAGACAAGTGACTAGGGCTGCGTTCCAGTTCATTTTTTTATGCCCTTCACCCGCAAACTTCCCTCCGTCTCGTTTACTCGGATGTACGTCATTGATTACGTTGCATGAGTGCTCACTTCTGGTGGAACCCTTGGAATGTGCTTAACTGGAACAACATAAGCACTTGATCACTTAGAATCAGCTATGGAGTTGGTTTATTGTTTACATTTTTCCCCTTACGAATTTGTTTGGTGCAGCATTCTATATGTATATAGGTATGCTTGGGCTGTTATAAATGTTAAAACAAAATCATTTATATATTATAGAGTTGTTTGGGGTGGGGATAAATTAAACGCGAGCTGTGATGATCGTGTTGCATTGTGGTCTATGGAGTGGTCTGAAGCGTGCATATGAATCAGACTCGCTCCCTCGGTCAAAATCGAGGGGTCGAGGGTCTGTCCATATAAACTTCCCTCGTTCACTTCACGAAGTGGAACGGACTTCAAAATGGCAGCGGGGATTCCCCCGAGGGTAAGTGCTTAGGGGAGTTAGCAAGTGTGTGTCTAAAAGTGAAGTGGAACGCAGCCTGGGTGCATCCCAAATCGTGTACTTGTGCACTATTCTATGACGTTTTGTAGTATAAATAGTGTGAGTAGTGCGTTCACACTGAAAATTCAAAAAAGAAACAGTGCACTTTAAATTCCCAGATGATGCACTTAAATAACCAAAAAAAACTAAGTGTGGAATGTAAGACACCATGCACTCAACAGTCGCAGCTTTATTTACGTAGCAAAGGGGGAGCGGCTATCAGACTCTGATTATGAATGACAAAATAACCTTATATAACTCACACTCTACATGGTTGAGTACATAGTGCATAAATACATAGTGTGTAAGTGCATAGTGTATAGTGCATCATTTGGGATGCAGCTACTGTCTTTTGAGTGAGTCATTACTGATTCATTCAATTAACCGATTCGTTCGACATCACTGGTTCATTCTAGAACGAAACGCAACAGTGTGTTGCACTGAGATGCACAACGGTTCATTCTCGCTTTGCCTTCAACTGGAAATATATTTGTTGTTGGAACGAAATACACTTAACCTGCAATAATGTGTCTAAAATAATAGGTTACTCGATATTAATTTCTTGTTGTTTGAAGTGTTGTAATAAATGTAATATCACACTCGCGATCATGCTGCACTCTTGCTCGTATTAGGCTAATTATAGAATGTGGCATATTTAGCCTGCTATATGATGAGATGCAATTATGTGCGTTAACTTACTTGATAAGCTCATCCCAGCTGGCCAGGTATGGCTTTAGAAGCACATCATTGGTTGAGACTGGTGCTGCCTGCAGGTGAGCCAGCAAATCGGCAACTTGAAACCTCATGCCAGGACATACCCTCAGTGGAGCCACATCGTCATCTGAACTATTAACTCTAACCAAAGACAGAACCTGAGGAAACGACAACAGATGGAAAAGTGATGTAAGGACAGATTTCTGAGGAGGGCGATGCCATAAAATGAATGTGCAAAGTTCCTGTTAGCAGGCACGACTGAAGCTGCATAGATTGAAAATGACCTATTAAGCCTCGAGTTATTTCATGTTCTCTTTTGTATTTCATTACTCTTACCTTGTTTTTTACACTAGAAACCTTTGGGCAAGTATTCCAGTGGTCCTCCAGGTTACCATCTACAATGAGAGACACAGGATGAGTAATGAGAGAATAAATCATTTTAAATAGAAAGAGAGAAGGAAATGTCATATATAGTAGTTAAATCACATAATTAAATCATAGTTTCATAAAGTAGTTGAAAATACTCAAAGCCAGTCTCATAAATTGATTAGGCTCTCACATAAACTCATCCAGAAGATCTGTGAACTGCATAACTGACTTGAGTGAGATAAAGTTATCCAGTATAATATTTCTCTGAATATTAAACAAGTAGTTACCTCCAAAATAAACACAAATTCTGTCATTGTTTATTCATTCTCATGTCATTTCAAACATGTATTATTTACTTTATTGAGCCAGTGAGATGAACTCGAGAATTAGGAATGAATCGTACACTAAATCATTGAAATTCTGTCTCAAAAGACGCATTCAACATTTGTTCATGAATAAGATTCAGTCACCAATACTTCTCTCATGAACTCTATTATAAAATCTATTTAAGATGTGAATTCAGGTCAAATGTCTGTTTAGCATCTTTACATGTTTATTTCCTCTACTGTAACAGCCAAGACCAAGTAACTGTATAAGGCTGGACAAATGTAACTCAATATCACCAAGACAGATATTGCTGTGATTGATTGAATTTCAAGCTTCATTAAAACGAAAATAATAAAGCAGTACCTCCAAAAAATAATAAATAAATAAATAAATAAAAATATATTAACCTGACCCTACAGCAAAATACAGTAGCTTTGGTGTGTCAGAAAAAAACTGGCCTAATTAACCAAATATTACATTCAGTCTGTTAAATGAAAATTCAGAAAGACTTGGCAAAACTTACGTAGCCACATGGAGCTAAGCAAAAGGAGGATGAAGACAATGGCTATACAAGCCCTGCATTTGACTCCCATAATGATCCACTATCCTCCTCAGGGGGCCCCGCTGTCCTTCTCAGTCTATGCGCTCCCGCGCTCTCTCCTGAGCATCTCTACACCACTGTGCTCAGTACCTTTCTTCTCTTACACAGTGTGTTTGTCAGTTTTCTGAATGGGTTTCGATCTTCACTCAACCACAAATTGGCAAGCGAATCCCTGCCCTCATGTGTTCACACTACTGTACACTTCAGACTCGAAGTAACTTCTTGTTTTGTGCTACTCCTCTCTTCCTGTATCCTCAGGTTAGTCCACCGGCCTAATTTATGCTGATTTTTGCATTATGCTGTTTTTTCATGCTGTTGCTTTCTTTCGTTTCCTGTCTTGCTCTATCTGTACTGTCAGTCCCCTGTGATGTTGCGCAATCTCAGAGTCCATAGATTAGTCAGGAACAACAAATCACTCCTTATTTGGCAAGCCCTAAGCTACCTGCAGTAACCTTTACACAGATGCACACACTTGTACAACACATGTCACAAATAAATAGTGAAGTCCTGGAATCCACAAGGGAAGGTCCAAGTTTTATTTACTCAACGTGCATCTCTGAGTGAAAAGAGAGATTTCTTTCAGCAGCAGATAACTACTGTTTGAAAGATTCAAATTCTCCATTCAAATGTTGAATTCAAATGCGTCATATTCAAATGTTGAACTTAAATGTTCTGGTTAGGCAACTAAATAATGTTGGTGTGTTTTCTTCTTTAATTACCTTAGATTAGTATATTATACATATATCATCTTAGCAAAGCTGACAAACTCCTAAAAGAGACCATCATGTTTGTATATCCAAATTGTGTGAACTGAATGACAAGGCCAATGCTAATCAAGCCAACACTGGAAAGACACTGTGACCTGAAATGTCACTGAGCTCCTTAAAAAAGCTGTCATGCCCTAAAAAGCCAACCCTCTGATTTGAAAGCTGATGAATTTCAATGCCCCAGTTTGGCAGAGTATGTACAGTATGTCTGTAGGCATTAGCAGTTTGTTTCTGTGTCACTATATTTAGGCCCAACTGCTGATTTATAGACGTCCGTTAATTTACACAAAAGCAATCACAGGCACTTATGAAGGGTGACATTATCTGATCAAGGCTATCATTAACTCATACGCACGCTACAGGTTACTGATTATCAGTGTCATTTACCTCCTCATGATTAAATGTACACAAATTTATTCTTATCTCTAAAGCTGGTATATTAAAAGTAAAGACAAATCAATAAAAACCTTAGTTTAAATCACATAAAAGGTGCGGTAATGTGTTGTTTTTCTTCAAAAATAAACTCAACAATCATACATTAAATTATATAACATGCTAGATTCTGATATTTTTTTCATAGATTTTCAACAGTGGATATTGGATTCCCAACGCTGTTTGGAAGATTCTGTAATCTAACCAAGACTTTTTTTTAATCTCCAAAGTAACATCCAACCAATTCAAGAACTGTATACAGAAGTGGGGCCCCGGGCCAGAGTTGCCAGGTCTTCTTTAAAAAAAAAAAAAACTAGCCCAATGACCGTAGTCCAAATATCAAAACTCAAAATATGCCTCTCCCATACGTAAAATACATATTTTACAGTCACTGTAATGCATTATACACAATTTCAACTAAAAATAAACACTATAGTAGTAATTATAAACACAGTCTGTTTTTATTAAGAAGCTCAAAGCCTCCCTACCAGTTCTTCTCAAAACTTAACATCTACCACAATTGTTTTTATCACTGAATATAAAATAATTCAATACAAGCATTTCAGTCAAAACTAATTTATGCAGTATGTCAAGTTTTGAACCCACGGGAAAACCGCAGACTTGGCAACCATGCCCATTAGGGGGCCTCAGCAAATTTCCAAAGGGCCCGCAGATAGTTTAAAACTATTTAATTTAATAAATGACTATTACTATATTAAAGTAATTTAACTATAAATTGAAATGCTAAATACTGAAATATATTTCTTATAAATAAATATTGTTATTAATAAAACACTAGTTCTTAACATTTCTGCTTTCACAAAATTACGTTTAATTTCATATTTCAACAATCTGTTAAAAAAAAAGTAGAACCACAGCTACACAGTTACAAGTTGTTCTTGCTGTACCTATAGAGCTGCAAAGAACCATTGAAGCACTTTTAATTTAGAGTGTAGCATAGAGCTCTCCCTACTGGGCAGTAAAAAAAATAACGTTTTCCTTCATTACAAAGAATCACTCTTAAAAATAAAGGTGCTTCAAAAGGTTCTTCAAGCGATGCCATAGAAGAACCATTTTTGGTTCCACAAAGAACCATTCAGTCAAAGGTTCTTTAAAGAACCATCTCTTTCTTACCTTTTTATAATCTGAAGAACCTTCTTTCGCCCCAAAGAACCGTTTGTGAAACAGAAAGGTTCTTCAGATGTTAAAGGTTCTTTATGGAACCATTTAGACAAAAAGGTTCTTCTATGGCATCGTGAAGCACCTTTATTTTTAAGAGTGTAGATGTGGAGGAGGTTGAGGGATGCAAACGCTAGTATCCTCCAACATTTGTGCAGGAGGCTATTCAGTTGTGTAACAAATTGTAATGTTTAATCAGAGCCGGTTCTAGACATTTGGAGACCCTAGGGAAAATTCATGTTAGAGGCCCCCCACCCCCAATAAAAAGCACATGAAACAAATATGATTCCTAACCTTTTTATTTTAAATTTTTTATATTTTTACTTATATGGTACTGGTCAAAAGTTTGGACACATTACTATTTTTAATGTTTTTGAAAGCAGTCTCTTATGCTCATCAAGCCTACATTTATTTGATAAAAAATTCAGAAAAAACTAATATTGTGAAATATTATTACAATTTAAAATAATGGTTTTCTATTTTACTATACTTTAAAATATAATCTATTTCTGTGATGCAAAGCTGAATTTTCAACATCATTACTCCAGACTTTAGTGTCACATGATCCTTCAGAAATCATTCTAATATGCTGATTTATTATCAATGTTAGAAACAGTTGTGGTTATTTATTTTATAATTTTTTTTTTTTTTTTTTTTTTTTCAATTTAACACACCCTTGCTGAATATTAACTTTTTTTCTGGATTTTTGATCAAATAAATGCAGGCTTGATGAGCACAAGAGACTTTCAAAAACATAAAAAATAGTAATGTGTCCAAACTTTTGACCGGTACTGTATGTAGGCCTACATATTAATAAAACTTTATCTAAGGTAATCTCGTTTGTGTTTTTTGAGGACGTTATTATAGCTGTGATGTTATTATTACTATTATTATTTTGCAGTAATTTGTTCAGTAATATATTCAGTTCCTGAATACCACTTCAGTAAATGAACATCAGTGCTTTTATCATTTAAAAAAATGGACAGGCTTTCCCTCATTTATTGACTACTGATATTGTCATATTATTAATATTAATAATATATTATGTATTGCATTGTTACCTTAAATATGCACTATATATATATATATATATATATTAAATATATATATAAATCAAGTGGAAGTGAAAGAGTCGATCACTACTAAGCAGAAAATAAGTTAATTTCTACTTAGTTGAAACTGAAATGAAATGTTATGTTGGAGCAGTAATGTAATCATCAGCAGAATTTAGAATGTGTTCGTCACCGTCACGGCAAACATTCAGAAGGTGGCACCCGCTTTGAAACGGCAACAATAATTTGTTTAATTGCAGGTGAGTGACAATTCAACTATATCCAATGAACAATGAGGCTAGTATGTGACTGTCTGTCTTGATTGCTGGACTAGCATATAGGGGATGTAACGGTTATGGAGGCCTCTCCTCAAAGCCCGAGGCCCTAGACAACTGCCTGCTCTGCCTATAGGTAGCGCCGGTGTTGTGCCGAATTCTGCACCCCTGCCAGATTATGCACCCCCTCGTTGAAGTCGCTACCTGATTGCCTAATCCTAACCCCTCCCCCACACCTACTCCTAAACCTACCAATACTAGGGGGTACATAATCTGGCAGGGTGCAAATTTCGGCACTAGACTACACCAGCCCTGTGTTTACTGCATGCTCATTGGTGAAATTAATCTGCTTTGAGACCTTTGGACCCAATATGATAAGTACATTTTGGTCAAATACATTTAGAAAATAAAGACAGAAAAATCACCGCCCACGACAGATTTCATATGCATTTCTGATGTTTTCATTTGGCAAAGACGTTTCCCCGGATGTGGCGTTTCCGGATATCCACATGGAACATAGTTCAGTTTCAGGTCATATTAATAGTACACAAAGGAGACAAGCAGAACACAAGATCCAGGGGGTGGGGTTGGATCCACATCTAGGGGGTGGAGATGGGTGGGTTTAGGGATCAGGGGGTGGAGACGGGTAGGTTTACGTATATGTAAGGTGGGAGGAGTTGGATCTGGATCCAACCACGCCCCCTGGATCTTGTGTTCTGCAGTGAGGACCATCTCACAAGCTTTGCAATCCAGTGACACTTACGCCCATGTACCACTTAAAGGCACAATATGTAATTTTTGCCGCTATAGGGTGCGTATTCAAAATGAACAAAGAGACTATAGGTGCGTTCGACTTCATGCCGCGCCGCGCAAACCGATCAAGTCAAGGCGGCTGACTTGAAGCAGTGCATGCCGGTTAGAAATTTTGTCCGACTTGAACCGGCGCCGACTCTACGTCACTGTCACGTGTGGCATCAAAGTACCGCGAGGCAGAAATCATGTTCATGGATGAGCTAATGATTTATCAATGTAGTAGAATGAAGCAGGGTGAGACTGAAAGCCGTCGAAGCGAAACGAGGCCACTGAACGAGTGTGACACACGGCTCGAAAGCAGTGGAGCTTTTATTATGCCACAGTCGACCGCTTCCGCTCCTTCCGGTCGTGCGTATGTGGGGAAAAAAAGCAGCTCTGTTTTATCATACTGGATACAATTGAAAGTTCTGTTATAATGCTACTCTGTGTGGTCGTCACCGGTCTATTAAAACGCACAACATATTAAAGCGTATTTGGTGTTTCCATGTTTTCTAATCGAGGGGTTATGACGTCATTGGCAGGCGACACAATGACACTATGGACACGGTCCGTGTCACTAGTTAAAATTGCTTATTTCTCTGGATTTAAACATTCTTCGATACATTTGGGATAATGTAAGTACACAAGTCAGCAAAATATATAACACTGTTCTAGTGGTTTTTGGATATTTTAATAAAAAAATCTTACATATTGTAAGATATGCCCTTTAAGCCCGGTGGCCAGCAACTGGCAAAGCAATGCATTTATGCTATTTGGCTTATAGCCTACAGAATTTAAAGAAAACAAAAATGCATGAAATAAACAACGTGATTGTGTCATAATCTAGTTTAAG